AAGTGTACCTCTGGTGCAAATTACTGACCTCTGTCATCATTTTAAGTGGGGGAACTTGCACAATCGGTGGCTGACTAAATACTTTTTTGCCCCACTGTATGTACGTCAAGTGTTGCGATAAATTTAATCCAGACTTGTGAAGTTCAAGTTTGAGAATCTTTTGAACCTGGAGCTAAATGTGAAATGAGGTGAGGAAAGCCTCGGGCCGTCTGGAGCTCGAGTTGATTTCAGCTGACTCATGTACATGTGAAAACTTGCTCCCTTTGCAAAGACAACAACAGGCTCTCCACGGACTCATAGAGTCAGTTTTTTATTTTTTATGAGGATGTTGTAGACAACAACATCATCTTCAGCTTTTCATTTATATATCAAAGATTTCCTTGATGTTCAGGGTAAGCAGCTCATTGCTGTTTCTTGCTCCACAACCTCCAGGTTGGAAAAAAAAGTGACACAAAGCCTTTGAACTGTGTGCAGGATGGTATGGTAAACATTTCCTAGAAAGAAACAAATGATTGTACTTATTTTTCTGATATGTGACTAATGATGGTGGTTTCATAGTAACTATAACATTAGTAGTATAAAAACTGAAGTGTGTGAAGTTTCTGCTTGTCATGCTGCAACCAAAGGTTACAGTCACCTTTACACTCACTGTCAAAGCCAAAATACTGTCTTGGACTGTCATATTTTTCTACCAATATCCAGGTTAACATAATAAAAAAGAAAAGAAAATGAAAAACAACATATCAAAGACTCGGCTGCAAGTCCAGTGCTTGATATGCTCTGTTTTGCCCACAGTCTTTGGGCAAAAAAAGGACATTCAAAACAGGAAACATAACTGTGAAAATCTAATTCTGATGTCTATTTTTTCTATTCTGTTCTACTCTATGAACAAATATTGCAAGTACCTAGGTGTGCAGTCTGTACCACTAGCCATTCTACCTGGGTAATCTACACTGACTTTACTCCTTCAAATAATATTGCATTGTATATATCTGACGTCAGGGATTTCGTGTAGATTGTTTGCATGGATGAAGATAATACGTGTTTGTACAAATGCCTAATTATAATGTATGTTATTATAAATATCAGTCAAAACATGAACATAGAGATGGG